CATATGCACTACAAGTTTGCATTTGTTGAAGGATGGTACCCTCCAAATTGCATTTGGTTATTAATTTGAATTTCCTTCCGTAAACAAGCATCAGTGCTGTCTAAAGCAGGTAAAAATATTAATGGCAGTTTGTGGAGCAGGATGAGAGAAACTGGGCTGCTGAGCATTCCATTATAGGATTTCCAGGGCTCATTTTTTTTTCTCAAGTTCTCTTTAATATGTGCATGATAAGACCCAGATACCAGCACTCTGCTAATGCAGAGTTAAGTACCATTCAGATGACACCTATCTAGGTATTTGCACCCTGGGTCAAATAGTGTAACAATGGTGGCCTCACCTGGAATAGGGTACCCTGGGGACTGTTCTTATGATTTTGCCTACCACTTTGCAGGACCAGGTCGCTATCATTAAAAATAAGGAGAAAGGGTACAGGAATGGGCATTATCTGTGGGGCTCCCCTCTTTAGGACTGTTCAGTGTATTGGATGAGCACTTTCAATACCTCTTAAGTATTCTAAAATTAATGTTTTGTCCCTTTTTGTAAATAAGTTCTGACATGCGTTGGTATTAGAAGAAAACCATCTGTCCAGAATTTAATAAGATGGTAGAAAAGGGGGAAAATAGAGTGGGTGTTTGGGTGAGGTAATTTAAGTTTCTGCTATTAAAAGAAGTAGGTATAAGGTTTCTTTGTTTGATGAAAAAGAAAGATTGGATTTTAAAAAGTTCGTTTTAATTTGGCGGTGGTGGTGATGGTAAGGGAATTGTAACATTTAAATGGTCTCAGCTGTAATGTTTTCACTGTAGTAAAATTTCTGCTAGTTAATTTATTTAATACATTTACTGTATATATTCATCCAACTTGCAAGGTATTAGATACATGCTTAATTAAGCAAGTAAAGCCCTGTGACACTTTATTGAAGCAAAGTTGAATTTTGAAGAAGCAGGGTAGGAAGAATATTGGTGCTTTTTTAACATTGGTGTTGGACGATATACCAAGATAAGAAAACAAACCAATGAGTCAAACTAATCAACCCAGAGGTCTCACTCAAAATATCTGCTATGGGCACATTATATGAAGACCTGGCTGTCTGGAGAAGGCCGTAATACTTGGAAACATAAGGCAAGAGACGAAGGCAAGAGACGAAAAAGAGGACCAGCAGTAAGGAATCAACAGTTGGAGGGCCTGAAAGAACAAGTTAAGAATGGATTGTCTTGCAGAAAATCTATATATTATTAGAAGTTAGAACAACTTAATGACAACATAATCCCAAAATTAAAAATGGGATATCCTGAATAAAGTTGACTGAGGAAAGATATGGTGGCATTTTTCAAGTCTGCTAGACAGCAACAGCCTACTCTTTATTATCCCAGAGGGAAGGATGCAAAGTAATAATCCAAGTTTAAAGGAAGCAGATTCTTGTTGAATATTTTTTTTTTTGGGGGGGGAACTATAGATAGTCCTTGAGTTCCGACCACAACTGAGCCCAAAATTTCCTTTGTTAAGTAAGACAGTTGTTAAGTGAATTTTGCCCCCTTTTATGACCTTTCTTGCCACAGTTGTTAAGTGGATCACTGCAGTTGTTTAGTAACACGTTTATAAAGTGAATCTGATTTTCCCATTAACTTTGCTTATCAGAAGGTCACAAAAGGTGATCAAATGACCCGGGACCTTCATAAATATGAGCCAGTTGCGAAGGATTAAATTTTGATCACATGACTATGAATGTAAGTGTGAAAAACAGTAACAAGTCACTTTTTTCAGTGCCTTTGTAACTTTGAATGTAACTAAACAAAAGACTGTTAAGTCGAGGACTACCTGTATTCAATATTTAGAGTTGATCAACTGTTATATCATATATTAAAGATGCTAATAAACTGTTTTTCTGGATGTATTCAGGTAGTATCCGAATAATCTAGATGCTTTGATTTGGATTCCTCCACTGAGCAACAGGTAGCAGTCATTGCCCTGAATGTTATTGTTTTATAAGAAGATGTTGCACTAGCCCCCTTAACCACTAGATGGCATAGGTACTACAGGAGCCTGAGAGGTTACTAAGGGCCTGGTGGAAATTCAACATTCTGTAGAACTACACATATTTCACTGTTTCCACATAGTAGCTGCCAGAAGAATCTGATACAGTGTGATATAGAAACAAGATATAACTGGAATAATGAGATTTCTTTCTGTTTTTTTTTAAAGCCCTTTAAATGTCTGGTTTTAACAGTCCTATTGGGCACTGTAAATGCCTCAGGTGCAGTTGATATTCCTTTTACATTCCTGGTTTTTGGCTGTGTTTTTATGGAAAAACATATTGAACTTCAGTTGAAGAATATTTGATAATCCTTCTTAGAACATACTATAACAGCTGGTATTTCTGTGTTGTAACAAATCTGTTTTATGCAGTAGTTAGCAATACTATAAGCTGTATTCTACTGCAAAATAACAAAGCACTTCTAAACCAGTTTCACCATAGGAAGCTTCAATAAAAAATGTAACTTAAGTTATGAGAAAAATATTTATTTCATTTTAAGCTTTTTACTGGTAATGATTTCAGCAGGTCATTTTACTGTACTGCATATACATTGCTATACACCACACAACTCTTTAAAATAAGACATTCTGAAAGTAAATATTAAAGTTTTTAATCAGAATAAAAATGGTAAATGGTATCTATTCTTAATAGTTATTTTCTAAATTTGTGGGACTTTCATTTTTAAATAAATTTTATTAACTTTGCAAAGAACCCTAAGACAGCTAATAAATTAATAAACAATCCAGTGAGAAATAATGAAAAGCTGTTTGGTTTCAATTAGCATTTTGATTCCTTAATAACTCTATAATTTGGGGTCCAAGTTTTAAATTTTATTTTTTTGGCTTTGCTATGTGCGTGTTACATTTATACCAGGAAAAGTGAATTGATGCTTTGCAATGCTTGTACGCTCTGTCCTTGGCCTGATTTCAGGTAACTTTTAAAAACTTAATCTGTAGAGATATTTATACAAGGTTGCATAAATGGAGTTGTGCGTAACAGCCATAATTCAGTGCAGAATTATGTACACACAAGAAAACATACTTAATAATCCATAACATAGGGCATCTGCCTCTTGAATATTCTGTATTCCTATTTTTTAAAAAACCTCAGATTGAAAATGTTTTAAATTCTGTTTTATAAACAGTTTCTTTATATGAAATAAGTCCTAACTATTTTAAAAGTTGTTAGAAAAGAGTATTCAACACTGAAAAGAAGTGAAATTTAAAATTTTATGTAATGAATTAAAGGCAATTTAGAATTATGGACTGATTTAAGGACTAAGTATGAGCGAGATGTAAGAGAAATGGGCGATTAATGGAAGATATGTATTAAATTGACTAAGAATGTACTTTTTGAATTGATGGGTTTATCGATATGAAACTTATTATTTTTAATAAGATGATTTGTTTGTTTGATGTCCAATGGATTGAAATGATTTAAGGTTTGATATTATCTTTTAAGCTTAAAAAGTAAGAGAAAAGGGGGTGATTAATGGAATATATATATTAAATTGATTAAGAATGTGGTTTTTTTATTATTTTTTTAGAATGATAAGTTTATTTGTAAGAAAATTATTACGTAATGTTGAGTTAACCTAATAAGATGATCTGTTTGTTTGATAACATGGATGTGATTAGTTATGAAAATTAACTGGATGAAATTTGAATTCTGTCAAATGGATTGAAATGATTTAAGGTTGGACTTTATTTTGTCACTTTAAAGAGATTGATTGATGGATGGATTAGATACGTATAGGATAGATTAATATTTTATTTTAAATAAGGGATATTAGTGGAAGAAGAAATAAATAAGATCTATGATAAAATTAAAGAATTAGAATATATTTGGAAGAGATATTTGAACTGATAAGGTTTGTACTTAAAGTTATTTTGATTATGGTAGTGTAAATTTATAAAGCTTTAAAAACAGGTTTAGGTTGAATAAATTTAAGCTAGAATTGGGTTATTTTAAATAAAATACGTTACTTAAGGGAAAAAGAGAGGGAATATTTGACGTATTGATTGAATTATGTATATATGTTTTGTTTGCGGATGTTTGACCACCCTAATATCACAGTATGTCTTGAGTACTTTGTTTTAAAAAACAAAAAACCAATAAAACTTGTCTTAAAAAAAAGAAAAGAGTATTCAGATGCTGAAACTAATTATTTAGCAAAACCCAAAATTATATATTTACACTTTGTTTGGAAACAGTATAAAACAAGTAAGGTGTATAAAATAATGCTTTAAAGCTAATAATTTAAGTAATACAATATGAACGTGGCTAAATTCTCCCAGCTGAGAACATATAATGCTAGAGTTAGCTTGGGGATATACCGGTATATATATTCGTAGTTTTTGTTGACATGCCAAAAAAAGTTCATACTTTTGGCTTCATTCTTAACTCTGTGATTATTCTACTTAGAAGATTTCAATCAGTTTAAACTACATTTTAGAAGTATATTAATATTTTAGTCTGATGGTACTGTTATAGTAATTGCTTCTGACTTGGCCCACCAATATGTTCCTTGGTGCTTTCCAATGCCCATGCTATGTGTAATATCCTACATAACTGAGAATGGAACAAGGTTATTGTACCAAGTTTTTTTCCTAAGAGCCCTTTTAGAAAGTGGTAGAACTAATGATAATATCTGAACTCAAGGAGCTTTTTCTTAAATAACTTGCCAAAAACAAGCTAATTTTGAAAATGTACAGATTATAACAGGCAGTTGTTTATACTGAATCAAGTTTATGGTGATACTAAATCAAGATTTCCTTGCATGTCCCTAGACATACCACATTCATACACAGACATGAGTAAATGAAACATTGTAAGAATAATGCATGTATTATTTTAGGTTTCTATAATGACATCTTGTAATGGCTTAAAGAAATGTATTTTAAATTTCTATCGTTTAGTCAATTGCAGTTTTTAGTTATCTAACTTATCCACACTTATATGCTTTCAGGGTACTTGTCTAAACCTTATTGAGGAAGGTGTCTATCAAGAATTGAAGTGACGTTACGACCTTCCAACTGAAGTTCTTAAGCATGCCAGCTTTATCAACTGGATCTAGTGGAGATGCAGGTAGGGTTTCTGGTTTTCTGTACATTATTAACTATTATTAATTTAGTAACTGTTAACTACTAGTTATTAAGTCCTGTGTAGTTATCTGTATATCCAATATCTCATGGTAAACATGAATGTGGATAGGGATCTGCATCCATATTTAGATAGGCTCAGCTGTATATCAAGTTCCTGTAGAAATAATCTCCCATCTGTGGATCTTTTTTGCTTTATTACATTAAGTTTTATGTATAAGAAACCAATCCTCATAAATGAAACAGTTTGGTATGACTTTTTTCTACCAGTTATGTTAATGAATTTGAAATTAACTAAAAATTTAAGGAAAATCGGCTGATTATAATGCTGTATAAGCCTAAGTCATGTTGTATTTGAACTTTGTAAATCACTTGCCTAACTCAAGTAAATTTTTTAAGCCCTGTATTTTTAGAAAAAAAAATCTGCTTGAAACAACATTTTTGAGTGGTTTCATGCACACGTTCATTAAGCATGTGCAATGCATTTAAATTTTGAACTATTGGGAGCTCAAAACTTTTCAGAATGGTAAAAATCAATGCTCAGAACAGCCATTTTAACATTCAAATTGGGGCATTTCAGATTTGAGATACTTTGAATTCAAAATTTGTTGGATGCTTTTGTAGCTTCTATTGTTCAGCTAGGAACAATATAGAGATGGCTTGCTATTACCTTCTTCCTTAATGGGTGGTTGTTCTGTAATTAAAGCATTATGAATAAAGTTGCATGGTTATCACTTACAATTCAATAGTATAGTTCAAAACATTTGTGAATAGTACAGTTTAAAACATTTGTGAATTTTAGAAAATAAAATTATAGCCTCTAAGCAAAAGTAGTGTGGGGTCAATTGACCTCAGAATTTTCCAATTTCTTTTCAGTTAATGTTTCATATTTAGATTGTACAGCATCCTGAATAATAGGAATCATCTTAAAACTTTCTGAAATAGAAATTATTAATTGAATTTTAATTAATCTTTGTGACAATAACAAATTTACATGTTAATATGTTTTGATCTATTAATTCATTAAACATCCAGTGGGCTTAGTGATAATATTCTTTGAGTTCATTACCACAAATTACAGTAATATTGAAGCATTAGCCTGGCATGGTTCAAAAATCTGATAAGGTAATTAACAAATAAAGGAAGATAACCGCTTGTCATTGTGTTGATTTAAAATCCTCCAGACATGATTGTAATACACAAAAGTGATGGAACAAAATGACCATATTTTTTTATCGTTTAAGTCTATTTTATAGCTTCCACAGACTTGTTCTAATAATGAAGCTATGAAGGATATGACAAAAATGGTGATATTAAATTTCTCTAGACTAATAGTAAAATTTTCCATTCTGATGTCAAGAATGTTGAGCATCTGGACTCTTGAGTAGTTTACCACGTGAGCACTTTCCCCATTTTTTTTATTCTTTTCCTAAGAACTTTCAATCTTAGATAGAAAATTGCAGTAACAGAAACTAGTTTCTAAAATTGGAAAATATATTTTGCGTTGATCATTTGTATTTGTAAAAACTATTTTATTATATGTCTCCAAATAAGGCTGTCCATGTATTCAGTAAAATCATTCAGGGAATTGGTAGTTTAAATGTAATATAATTAAATTAAATGTTTACCGTTCTATTATTTTGTTCTCTGAACCCTCATCCTGTCCCCAGCAAGTTCCTGTATTAAAGAAACTATTTCTAAAAGCTATATGTCTTGTTGAGGCTAATTTCTTGAGACTTAGAAAAAACGGTATTATAGTGAGTGCAGATAACATACCATGTAATTATTCTTTTGCTGTTATAGTTCTATCAATGCACTGGATTTTGTGGCTTAAATTGCTGAATCAGTTCTTAAAAAATTCAAAGATCCTATAGTTCATTTCTTAAATAAACAGTAATTCTAGATGCTTATGTTTATTTATTTAATGATTACACACACACACACACACACACACACACACACATAGTATATACGTACTCCAAATGTTTTATATGAGCCACTCAGCATCTGTTCAAATGGGCAGTATAAATTGCTGTTAATAAACAATCAAATATTTGTTTCAGATGTAATTAATGAAAAAAGCCATTCTCATATAGTGTCTTTTCTGTGACAAATTGAGTTAGAAAATACTTCTAGCTAAATACAGTAATATCAGACTTAACATGTTCCATTATTGGATTACACTCCTTAAGAAAGCTGTCAAACTATGTCTCAATGGTGTAATTATAAGCAACAATGAAATGTGGTTTGTTAAATAGTTTATATATTGAAGACTTGATAAAATATATAATCAAGAGCAAGCTTAATATTACTTAAAGCAAGATTCAAATAATTCAAAATAATATCCATCATAGATATTGGGTGCTAATCCAAAAAGTTCATTTTATTTATTTTTAGTTCAACTTAATAAAAGCTAATAAGTCTATATAAAAGCAACTGCCTCACTAAGAATGTATATACTTTGCATAAGTTCTGATTTATGGCGTGATGACTAAGGGTATTTCAGGTAGTTGATTGTTTAGATTTCTAAAAACAAAAATGGATATTTAAAATTTTGAAATATGCTTTCCAGATTTGGGTAGCTACATTTTGATGTAATACATAAACTAGCTTCTGGATCATAAATGAATTGAAAATACAGAAAATCCTAAGAGTACTATGAATTCAAGTCTCATTTTTCCAAGTCAACCAAATGTTGAAAAGTGTGTTAAAGGACTTGGGATTAACAGTCCAATATCAAGGTAACTATGAAGACTGAACAGAAGTATGTCAAATTTGATATGATGGAAGAAACTGGAGAAAGAAAGATTGAGTTTGAAAAATGGGCCAGATCTTATCAGGGATGTGGATTAAAATAAATACCATCCCTATGGGAGAGGCAATTGAGCAGCAGTACTGCTCACCCCCATTCTAAGATAAATTCCCTGGCTATGTGACCTGGAGCTGAGCGTACGCAGCCACTTTGTGCTTCCTGTTGCGCACAGATTCAGACACCCTTAGAATGCAGTATATGCATGCTAACAAACATAAAGTTCTAATTCATTCATACAGCAACTAAATTTCATTTTTAATGTGTGCCATTGTGCCCACAGTAAAAAATGACAATAAAGGTTATCTATCTATTACTCAGCAACACATCAGTAATTACAGATACTTTTTACCACTGTTGCTGATAGAAAGATTGGGAAAAAAATCCAGAAGCCAGTTCTTATATGTCTTCCCTGCCTTGTTGGTTCTGAATAATGTTGAGTTATCATAACATAAATAAACCCGCTCCCTGATTTTCACAGGACCTTCCTTCCCTATAGCTGCTATCATGCATACATTCAAGTGTAGCATATACGGTTCATCCACCTGCCATGTACCCAAACTGTACTTATTAAAAAGGACTATATCCATAAAAAAGAGGAGTGACTTTGTATGTGAAGGTGTCTAATACCCTTGAATATGGAAATTTTGATCCAACGTTATTCAGGATTTTTATAAAGAATATGAAATGAATGGAATGCTTGTAACATTAGTAAATGATGTCAAATCGAGGACTGATGAACATTGGGGTCAGTTCTAGCATGATGTTCAGTTGTGATAAAAGTGAAGTCCTGCAGATTTAATGTCTATGATTGGAGGAACTTCATGTGAAAAGTATATAAGGAAAGCAGCAAAGCACTTGCTGAACATGAGCAAGCAAGCAAATTCACTCGTGGTCTGCATTATAAAAACACTGTTTCTGAATTATGAGAGATACTTGTTCTTTGTTAATCTGAATTGATTACACCAAATATGGTATACAATGTTCAGTTCTGGGCACTGGACTTTGAAATGGACATATAGATCCTGAAGAAGGTTCAGAGATGATCTTCCAGGCTGTTAAGTCTGCATAAGAAATATGCATAATAATAAGGATTCAAGAACAATGGACATATCTAGTCTGCAAAAGAAAACGTTTTGGGGATATGACAGTAGTCAACAAATATATAAAAAGCTGTTACATGAAAAGTAGAGCATACATGTATTGAAACTGAAAGCGGGCAAGAACAAATGGATATAAAAGGAAGGAAGTTTCCATGTGGTAAAAGCTATTGAACAGTGGGACAGTTGGTCCACAGCAACAATAGACTTCTCTGCAGGAAGTCTTCAAATGGAGGTTGGATGGCTGTCATGTATGGTTTAGTTGACTTGTCCATTGAATGTAGGGTGAACTAGATGACCTACACTAACTCTTCCAACTCTAATATTCTATGATTCTTTGAATAATCATAATTACTTCATTAATCCATTTTAGATAATTCACGGCAGAAATCTTCAAACTGGAGTGAACACTTGAAACTAAGGTTTAATAATGCAAAATATGCCATAAGTATGTCTTCTGTGTAACAACACATTCTCAAACATTTTGGTGGATTTTATTACCAGTGTTCTGAAAAAAATTCTGTGATGTTACTAACATGATCTGATCACAAGAGAAAGAACAATACTAGAGAGAAACTTAAATTACTTTAACAGGTACTACTACTCCTTAGAGAACTTTAAAACTCTAGACCTATAAACGAGACTAGGAATTTCTAACTTTACCAAACTAGAAATCCACAACAGTTAAATTAATTTCAAGCAAATACAAATGTACAGAACACAGCAGTGGCTTCAGAGCTTCCTTTATTCCCTCCTATAGAGAGCCTCTTATTTCCTCACTGAAGACATCATAATGATGAACACGTTTACTACTATCTGTGCAGTGCTAACCGCAGGACATTGAATGTGCTCTAAAATGTATTGTTTATTCATTCTGTTTCTGAACAATGGCAGTATGTTTGCAAAGCTTTGAAAAAGAATCTCCTGTTTTCTGGTTCTAACAGCATGAAATATGCCCTCTTGATACTTACCTTTTCTAATCTTTTATAATTTTCAAAGAACTGAGAAGACTTGATCTTGCACAAATGGCTGCCGCAACAAATATGGCCTGATACAAGCAGCAGTTAACAAAATAGTTCCTGCCACCCCATTATGCAGGATCATATTATTTCTGATTTTTTTCCCTCTTTCATGCTTTTCATAGGGAGGTGGGTGTAATGCCAACAGACCTGGGCTGCAGCTGCCCTTCATTTTTATTTTCTAACAGTTGGGTCCCAAAGGTATTCTTTAAACTTCTCCTTCTGAAGTTTGGCCCTTTGCTCTGCTGATTCTTAGCTTCCCTTTTTAAAAATAGAATGACCTTTTAAAAAATAAAATGTCAAGTAGGTAAGGAAGGAATCAAGGGAAGGTCATAAGTAAGTTGGCGCCACTTTAGATTTAATACCTATCTGAAAATCCTTTTAAGCTGATGAGGTAGGAAGAATTCTTTGTCTGCAGGGATTATTTACTGTTGTAAAAAAGCAATCCAATACTATATTTCCTTTTGCTAAGTTCTTGCTGTGTTAGAAACTGTTGCAGGAAGTGCAAGCCGCAGCATATACTTCAGACAAATGTGATTCCCTCTCACTTTGAAATATTTAAGTAGCATCCATGTGTAAGATATAGGTTTAGCATCTAGTACTTCCCAGTATTTTTCAATTGCCATGCTGAGTAAGCCTTACAAAAACTATAATGTGAAACAGATGGAAGGCACCTCATTGCCTATAGCTCTTACATAAACTTTGCACTTAGTGCTTTGCTTCTGTAAGTGACTTGGCTGACCTGAAGTCTGAACCTATAATCTTTTAGTGTGAATGCTGTTGGAAGAGGTTCATGATGTAGATTCAGTGCTTGTTATATTCAGGAAAAACTACAGCAATGTGGGCATTCTATTTTTATGCTTAAAAGCTACTATAAAGAAAATTAGCTTTAAAATAAATCAAAGTTTGAAATATGAGCATTGCCTCACAAAAGACCATAGAAAATTATGTCTGGAAGGATTTTTTTCCTAGCATATTTTATTAAATAACAACAGGAAGACAAGAAAACAATACATTGCTTCCAAAAAATTCTGCATTTAATTTTAGAACCATCATCGAGTGCCACAGAAAATTGTGCAATGCTGTTGACTCAAAGAGTTTAATCTACAGGCTTCAAGGTGAAATGATCCCATCTATAGATCATTCACTATAACCTAATAGGCAGTATAATTTAATAAAATCAATGTAATGTAATACAACATAATTTAATAGTCATTTTGGAAAGGTATTTTTGGTGGTTACTTTGAAAAGCTATTCCTGTGGTGGATAGTGCTTAGTCTGATCATAAAAAAAAATCACACTTGTTTAATAGACATAATATCTTAGTATATTCAGGATTGCCAACAATGAAAGAAAAATAATTGTTGATATAGGATTAGCCAAAAAGGTATCAGTGCTTGCCGCCTTTGATTATGAGAGGGAAGTATTGTATCTTTTAGCCATAAAAATTCTCCACTGGATAAACATGCTATAAATAGGCCAAGTCTTGGCGGGAAATCACATTGCTATATTCTTTGGACAGCTTTTTGAAGGATAATATTATGCTCCCTGTTACTGAACCTATATGCTACTGTATGTCTCAAGAAATTGCCATGGGACGTGACCATACAAACTAGGGCAGCCACTACTTTAATCTCTGTGAAGGAGTTTGGAAAAATGTTCTGCAGGTGCACTCTTTTTAATGACAACAGCAACAATAAAAAATTAAATATACAAGGGTTTTTTCAGGAGTTATTTATCCATGCATCTATTATACCCAAGATGATTTTAAAAAGCAATGTATCAGAAGTATTCAGAGAAACCGCAAACTCTTTTCAAGGAACCACCCTATCCATTTTCTATACTTACAAGGATGTTTTTCTGTTCATGATTCATTTCATTCCAACATCAAGGGAACTGGAATAACGATTAAGCAAAGGAATGCATGTGTTTCTGGGTTTTGTCCCTTTCCAAAAAGTTTTATGAATTCTTGATTCAGTGTTAAATAAATATATCATCCATAGACACTTTAGCCATGGTTAATAAAGTAAGAGAATACACCACTATTGTAGCTTCTTTCTCTTTTAATCCAAATCTCTCTCTCTCACACACACACAAACACACACTAAATTGTCTTCATTTTTTTATTAGGTATATCCATACCCTCCATTGTCTCAGTATAAAGTGGTATAAAGCAGAAACTTACATTAGACTACTAAACGAAATTAATAAAATTAATTTTAATTTCCACTTTATGTTCTATTTATTCTTTATAGGTCTGTATGAGCTGCTGGCTTCACTGCCAGCCCAGCTGCAGCCACATGTGGACAACCAAGAAGACATGACCTTCCTCTGGGATATGTTTGGTGAAAAAAGCCTTCATTCTCTGGTAAAGGTAAACCACACTAAATGTTCATTCTTTTTGAGAAACATGTATGGAAAAACGTTTTGAGCAACCTCTAGTACACCAAGCATCAGTTACTCTGTGGAAACAAAACAGCCTTGTTTCGCTTCTGTGCTTCTGTGAGGGATGGAAGTTGTTAAAGGTTTCTACCAAAAATATTGCAATGATTTCATTTAATAGTGATGTTTTGGCAGAATGCATTAATGTAACAAACATATGATGTTTGCCCTTGTTTAGAACGAGGCAGCATGAATTAATAGCAGGAAATCTGAGACTCCTTCATGGTCAACATTCATGGCCTGGAGTTTAGCTTACATAAACAAATGTTCACAGCAGAAATTAGATGGCATATATTTTTGAGGTGAAGTATGGCAACTATTCAGTAGCCACATTAATTTAAAATAATTTCCTTTAACAAAATCAACTGAAATTATAGTTGGTTCTTTAATTGGCTTGTATCCATCAAAGATTGTGTTTTGTATATAAATATATTAAACTTGTATGATTAAATAAGTAATTGACTAAAGCAATTGAAATGAAATAATGGGTATGTGTCATCAAAAATGATAGCTGTTTATGTATATTGTACTTTATAATTGACAAAATTATTTGCAGTTTTGATGTTCATAATTATTACACAGCTATTAGTTTAGAAATTGAAAATTAGACTTGTAAAGAAATGTGTAAAACAAGACTGCTACTTTGATTTTATACTAAATTTGGGATCCCTAGCTTCTTGAAGAAATATTGTGTATTTATATAGGAGAAAACAAAGGGGAAAATATTTTTTTAGACTGTGACAATTCTTTATATGCTCATTTACATATTTATAAATTATTTGAATGTTGTTTAGTCAAGGACTCTACTGTAAAAATACAGTAACGAATAACATCTCACAAAGCCACTAGTTGGCTTAACTGATTTTTTTTATCATGGTGTTCATGCCTTCCTGAACATTAGTTTTGGGTGGGGGGATGTCAAATTGTTCTACAGCGAGGGGATTATTGCTAAGAACTCCATCCTCTAGGTCTCCTAATTTTTCAGTTTCAAGGATCCCATAGAGCTCTCTGTTGGCTAGTATGTATTGGCTGGCACTCATCCTGGAAGTAACAAGGCAATATTTATGGCTGCATTTCTGCCAAAAGACAATTAAAAAAATACAAATCAGTAACTTTAAGATGTTCTGGGTTGATAAATCTTTTCTTAGGTTGCAATAAAGGAGTGCTTTGGGATATATTACTACATCAGAAAGATGCCTAAGCATCTTTAACTCTATTTGGCCATATGGTTTACTCCTTAGATAGTAACTGCAATCATTGAAGCACTTAAAACTTCTCTTAAAGGTTAACATAGAACTCAATAGAAGGCTAATCTGGAAGAAACACTTCTGAAAAAAACGGGAAATTTAGCTAATTGTTGGAGATTTATTCAAAATGGAACATTTCAGATGATACTTAAAGTGTTTGACTGAGACTGGGGAAACCCAGGTTCAAGTCTATAATCAGTGATAGAAGCTTGCTGGTTAATTTTGGGCTTGGTAACTTTTTATTAGTTCATCATAACTTTGGGGGAACTGCTTTGGGGGGGGGGAAGGAAGAGGAAATGTTGTCTTTATGTACATCATCTTGTGCTTCAAGATATAAACCCGGATACAAATCTAATAAAAGCCAACAAAGGTGGCTGTTGCAATTTTTAGAGTTGCAAAGTATTAAGACATCTTTCCCAATAATAAAGGAGAGCATTTGTAGCTCAGGGTTGAAATGAAAGGTATTTTGTGTTCTCTGTCTTTGCTTGTTTTCTTGCAGACGTTTCAATACCCAAACTAGGTAACATCATCAGTGCTGGTAAGGAGTGGGCACTCAGGCACTCTGACAAATTAGCCATCAGTAGACACATAAACATTAACAACATCTATAAGACTATTCAAAAGAGACAGTCAATCAGCCCAAGGGGAACAAAAAGACCCAAGCATCTATCCACCAGCAATCAGCACCCAGATCAGCATAGATGAACTCCAAGGTCAATATCAGACCAACAGTCAAGTAAACAATAACCCCAGTCAAGAAACTGCCAAAGAAGCAAACAGTAAACAGCCCAACCAAAGAATCTCTAAGACCGCTCCCACCAACACCGGCAGGGCATGGCACTAGAATATAAACTGAGAGCAAACCCCACCCCTCACTAGCACTGATGATGTAACCCACTTTGGGTAATGAAGCATCTGCAAGAAAACAAGCAAGCTCAGAAAGTATCAAGGATCCTTCATCTTTCCCAATCATTTATATAAAGTCTAGAAAGACCTTATTTCCTCTTTTTTGTATTTATTGATGAAATCTCCATGGGAATGTTTCAGACACTTGAAGAGCACATATTGATTTATATATTTAGTATCCCATATTTCCCAAAGTTAAATAAACTAATTTAAATGTTAGTAATTTACTTTTATAACATATGAAATATAGAATGTTCGCAGTTTAATATATACAATATATAATTTATGGACCTTTTTCATTTCTATTTTTGTAAATCAAAATAAATTTAAAAATTGCTGTCTTGAACAAATGAAAGCAAAGAAAAGAAACTGGATCCAAAATACAGACAATATGCCTTGTCTGACATGGAAGTACCCTTTTCTATTTAGCATGCTTGTTTCAAAATATAAAAACCAATAATTCCTCAGAGAATGTCATGGCAAGTTCAGTATTCCAATTATATTTGGTGCCAATTGACAGTCATAAATATCTTCTTTAGAGCTGTTGAAAATACAGGGAATATATTTTGCAGAAGAACATGTTTTGAGTGCTCATATTTTCTTCTTAACATCTTTATCAACTAAATTTCAGTTCCTGTATTTAAATTTATTTGATACTATTACTTTATATAAAGATGATTTTTATTTCATTCTATTCTGCTATCGTATTTTATTATTTATATGTATCTAATGCATTACATCAGGAGTGTACCGGCCCGTGGGCCAAATGCGTCACGAAGAAACCGCACCCATCCCATTGCCGGCAATGGGGGAAAAGTTCCGATACATCACGCGATGTTATATGACATCATGAGTTTAACATGTCTGCACTACATTTGTTTAATATGTTTGCTATGCATATGGCATGATGTCACAAAAATCTTCAAACTTTCATTTCATTTGCCAATTGTGACATGGGGTATTTATTTTTATTAGGCATAAAGTCCCCATTCATCCTAACATCTAACAAGAAGCTAAGGAATTGTAAACTATAATACCTATGTTGCATTTCTAACTGTACTACGGTCCTTCTGAAAGGCATTGAAACACTTGTAATGTGAGTTGCATATCTCTTTTTTAAAAATCTGTTTTGTCTTGGTTTTGTATTAAGATCCACTTTGTCTATTGTGAAAATACCTATACATTAATTGTCAAGGCCAAAATATCAGGACCTAGGAAAAATAGTTCTAGGAGAATGCCCATCATATTAATAGCATATGAATTATTTGTGACCTGTGAAGGTTAGTAACAGTGATGTCACTTCTTTTTCATCTTCACAATTTCTGCTATAATACTTATGATACTAGATCACATTAGATCTTCTGTTTGAGATGCTAACAAAATTGTGTTCTAAAATGAGAATCTCTGGCTCTGAATTCTATGTAACAGTTGGCAATTAAACTGAATTTTGAAGGTGATGTGTGTCATAAAATAGTTTTTAACTTATTGGAATTACTATATTTTAATAGATAATGATAATAATAATAATAATAATATGATGATGATGATGATGATGATGATAAAGTTGAAAGGGACCTTGGAGGTCATCTAGTCCAACCCCCTGCTCAGGCAGGAAACCCTATACCATTTTGGACAAATGGCTGTCCAGTTTCTTCTTAAAAACTTCCAGTGTTGGAGCATTCACCGCTTCTGGAGGCAGGTTGTTCCACTGGTTAATTGTTCTAACTGTCAGGAAGTTTCTCCTTAGTTCTAGGTTGCTTCTTTCTTTGATTAGTTTCTACCCGTTGATTCTTGTCCTGCCTTCAGGTGCTTTAGGTGATTGTCGTTTCTATAATGTGAGGTTCTTTTTTTGCTTGGCAGTCCCCTGTAATGGAAGATGTATCACTCCTGGTTAATCTTTGAGGCTTCATAGTATAGGCTTTCCTGTCATAGCATTATTTATTGAATAATTTTTTTGAATGCAAACACTAGTTTACACAATTCTTTCTAAAAACATACTTCTCCTAGCTTTATTGTTTCTCTCTATGAAATTATGCCAGCCATACATGTTGAAAATATTACTATAAATTTTTTTAAACATAGCAATCACATATTTAGTTGTAAGATCTCCATGTCACATCTATTTACTTATTTTCATGAATGGAAGTACAAAACAAGAGACACCTATGATTATACCCCTATCTTCACCTCTTCAATTATATCCAACTTTCAGATACTTTATAGATTTAGATCTCTCGTGATAATGTTGCAGAGTTTTTCAACTTTGTTTAAAGTTTCTAGATTTAAACCAGTATCTCACTTGATTATATATTTTATCCCATTCTGTTCAGCAGCTCCAACCATTCATAATCCATTTTCTCTAAGGAATCAAAATAATGTATCCATAGTTTAGTACTCATAGCTTCCAGTGATATTTCCAGTTCGTCATTTCATTGTTTGTTATTTTTGCTGCCCAAAGTACCTGAAATACTATAATCTGAAGTCTAGTTTTCTTCTATCTGCTTTTTAAATTATTATTATTGTCCAGATCTTTTTAATATTAATCATTGCAGTATGTGCAGCTAATATAGCTTCATTTAATTTGGGGCAGTAACTCCTGTTAGGTAAATTTTGGAACCAAGAAAAATGAAATTTTGGAGTGATTCAATTTTTCATTGTCCATATCATTTCTATTGTTGTGGAAACTTTAGTCTTCTTGATGTTTAAATCCAGCTTTTTTACTTTCTTCCTTGACCTCTAGGATAAAATATTTCATACAGTGTTCATTTTCTGCAATAGAATGGTGTTATCTGCATATCTTAAAATATCAAAATTCTCCTACCAAATTTGACTGCAATTTCTGATTCTTTTAAATTAAAGTTGCCTCAAAATTGTTCTAAAGATGCTTTTCAAAAGGCAATTGGACTTTCTTTGTTTGTTTTTTCCTTGAAGTTGTTTCGCTTCTTATCCAAGAAGCTTCTTCAGTTCTGACTGAATAATGGAGAATAGAAAGATTTATCATCTGTTCATTAGCACTCTGAAGGTTGGTCCTTAGCTCTCTGAGAGTCACGAGGCTATTTGGGGTTTATCTGTGCCTCAGGCCTACCTGAATCAGAATGCAAATGGTTGTGGAACCTTCTTGGAAGAATTACAGTATATCCTTGAAGAATTATATCCTAAGAATCATTTTTGAAATGCCTTTTCTCCCTTCTGGCCATATAAATAAGATTTCTGAAGATTGCCTTCTACTTCCACTGGAACATGGAAAAGATTGGAGCAGCAATCCAACATACCTTTATACAACCAACTGTAGGGCTGTTGAAGAGGGATAAGAAATGTTTCTTTTTCCATGAAGTAGAAGTGAAGATAATTTTTTTCCTGAAAGACCTGTGTAGCTTGAGGACATAAAATAGGGTTTCTTTGTGCTCCTTGTCTTCAGCAATGAACATCTGGCAGTGAATGCTTTTGAGAGATAGGGAGTGGAACAGGTGCCTCAAAATTGCTTCCATGTATTAATTGAATAGATGGACCAATGCAGCCATGCTACACACCTGTTCCAGTCTTTAAGCAGTCTGTGTTCAAGTTGTTATGGGTTGCATATGCAGTAATTGATAAACAAGCATATAAATATATAGCAGAAAGATGTATTTTGAGCTTTTAAATATATTTAAAGAAAGAGAGCTATATAGCTTTACAGCTATATAGCTGTTCAAGGATTTCAAGTTTAGTATGTTGACTGCATTTATAAAACAAGATTGTTGGTTGAGCCTCATGATTTCATGTCAAAAAAGACAAGATAAGAATTTCTCTTCCAATTTTTGAGTATTCTGAAAGTGTCCAAATTATAAAAAAAAAACTTGAGATTAAAGTACACAACAAAAACCCATCCAATTTTGAAAATAGTTTTTTCAGCAATTGAGCAGGGAGTTTGGCTGTAAAAGGATAGAGAAATTTATCTTGGAGGAAAGCTAATTTATTTGGCTTTAATCTGAATTTCCTCTTATCTACCATGGGGACCTCTTCCTATAAGCAGAGTCATCAAAACACTCTCTTTATTGACCAAAAAGGTTCATTTGAATGAAGTCTCTGAAATCTCAAATAATAGCTGCTTTATTTTGTTATATGAGGAACAAAGAAGTTAGTTTCTTTCAGAAAGACCAACGTTTGGTTTTTTAATGAGACTGTCCAAGAAGTAAGGGGTTTATAATAGTGTTTAGATTATACACTTGCAAAAATAGAACAGTCTGCATAACTTAACTATTAATTTAGAAGATGAATTTCAGCTTTGTCTAGATTTTTCAGTTACATCTATAGACTGAAAATTGAAAGGGATGCAAAATAATATTGCAGGTCAGATAAGGCAAATACATTGAATTAGAAGAGAATTCCAACATTAATTTTAATGAATAAAACAGAACACCATTTTGCAAATAAAACTATAGTCCTAACATTAATGGTTTATAGCAGTGTTTCTCAACCTTGACAATTTTAAGGCATGTGGACTTCAACTCCCAGAATTCCACAGCCAGGCTGTGGAATTCTGGGAGTTGAAGTCCACATGCCTTAAAATTGTCAAGATTGAGAAACACTGGTTTATAGTTCAAAACAGAATATTTAGTATAATTATCATTTCTGCAATTATAATTTTAAAAATACAGCTAATCAAAATTGCAAAGGAGCTTTAAATTCTGAATTCAAATCCTGATATGGTTAAATCAATGATTAACAGTGGTTAAAATCAATGAAAGCTTTAACTACTGTTAAGCTTAGGGAAATTTTAGAGAAAGTAGCAATTTCTTAAGGGTTCCCATGTTGACACATTTGCAATTTTATAATTTGTTCTGATAATTATACACAATTAGAAAATGGTAATTTAGGAGAGTTATTGTATAATATTTTACAATTTTATAGTAACTCTCTTAAACCACCATTTTCTAAGAATTTATAAAAAGGAAGGGTGGATCATATAATCAGTTTCTCCTTTAGAATAAATAAAGTGCTTTTTCAAATAACTTGCATATTGGGTTTCTGGGTATAGAAATATAATAAATAACTCAACAAATTTTATTGTATCAATATAAATATCCCAAGATAAATCAAAATCCATCTTCTTTAGATGGCTTCAATCATATGTGTGACAGGTAAATAGAAATCATATTTAATAGCAGTATGTTTTGGGAAGTAGATGTGGGGGAAAACATGAAGGTGCGTTCTTGCAGATTTTCCAAACATGTTATTAAGTCCATTTTTGGCAGAGATAATGTTAAATTATATTGACTTGGTGTAGCCCAACAAAAAAGTTATGTAAATAAGCAATTTACTTATTGAAATGTTAAAAATAAATCTATCGCTTTCTTCTTTTGGTTATTTTTTAAAAAATGTTGGAAAATATTCTAGCATTGAAGAAACATTTTATGCAAAATGGAATGCTTGTAAATCATTGTGACAATGTCTAGATTTTATAACCCAACTAAACAATCATTACTTGATTGTGTTGAAATATGAGGAAATACTAATGTTAGTTTGTTTAAATGCAGAATATGTTGCATGTTTAAATAACTTGATATTTTATATGTTTTAAAAGACTTGTAGAAACGACCTCTTTTTACAAATGTATTTTATTCCATAGCTTGTCCAAAAATGTTTAATTTTATGTACAGAGGATAAAAACAGATGGTTGTGACATAGCTATTAAAATCTAAGAAACATGATATCTAAGTATATTTTCTGAATAAATATTAGGAAAACAATGTAGCTCTTTGCTTGTTTATGTTGGTAACTTCAGAAGTATTGGTAAAGTATAGTATGCTATGTATTTTTGTTTTCAGAAGAATTATATCTAAATCGTAAGTAAGGTGGGAGACAGGACAGAACAGAATAGAATAACAGAGTTGGAAGGGACCTTGGAGGTCTTCTAGTCCAATCCCCTGCTCAGGCAGGAAACCCTATACCATTTCAGACAAATCTCTTCTTAAAAACTGCCAGTGATGGAGCATTCACAACTTATGGAGGCAAGTTGTTCCACTAGGTTAATTATTCTAACTATCAGGAAATTTCTCCTTAATTCCAGATTGCTTCTCTCCTTGATTAGTTTCCATCATTGCTTCTTGCCCTCAAATGCTTTGGAGAATAGCTTGACTCCCTCTTCTTTGTGGCAATTCCTGAGACATTGGAACACTGCTATCATGTCCACTCTCGTCCTTCTCTTCATTAAACTAGATACCCAATTCCAGCAACCGTTCTTTATATGTTTTAGCCTCCAGTACCCCAGTCTTCTTTGTTGCTCTTCTCTGCACTCTTTCTAGAGCAGTGGTAGGCAACCTCTGCTCTTTTAAGACTCATGGATTTCAACTCCCAAAATTCCTGAGTCAGCTATTGAAGTCCATGAGTCATAAAAGAGCCGAGGTTACCTACCCCTGTTCTAGAGTCTCAACATCTTTTTTACATTGTGGTGACAAAGCTGGATGCAGTATTCCACGTGTTGCCTTACCAAGGTGTTATAAAGTGGTATTAATACTTAACGTGATCTTGATTCGATCCCTCTGTGAATGCAGCCTAGAACTGTGTTGGCTTTTTTGGCAGCTGCAGCACACTGCTGGCTCATATTTAAGTGATTCCCAAGATCCCTTTCACAGTTACTACTATTGAGTGAGGTACCACCTGTACTGTACCTGTGCATTTGGTTTTTCTTACTTTTTTCCACCATTGAATTTTATTTTGTTAGATAGTACCCAATGTTCAAGTCTATCAAGATCCTTCTGTATTTTAAGCTTATCTTCTGGAGTGTTGGCTATTCCTGCCAGCTTGGTGTCATCTGCACATTTGATGAGATAAAGAATTACAAAGTAAAAAACAAGAGAAAGAAATGTGAATGTTTAATTTGACTGTATATTGGTCTACAATGGTTATTTTCTTCCATTTGATTTCATAATTACATCACTTCACCAAAGGGTGATGATTAATTATATCAACATGTTCACTATTAGATGCTTCGTAAAATCGGGGGGGGTTTTTTTGCAGTTGTTTATTTCTGCTGCTAACTAAACCTTTTTGTTCTATTATTTCCTAGATTCATGAGAAATTGCATCACTATGAAAAACAGAGCCCCGTGCCCATGTTGCACGATGCATCAGCTTTGGCAGATGATGTAAGTGTGTATGAAATGTCTATTGATATCACAGATTTTAAAGACTGAAAGCAGTGGATAGAATAAGCATATGAAGTAGATCAGTGGTGGCGAACCTATGGCACGGATGCCAGAGGCGGCACTCAGAGCCCTCTCTGTGGGCAGTCGCACCATTGTCCCAGTCATAGGCCTTCAGCTGGGTTTTATAAAACCTTTTTGCTTTAGGCCTCCACCACCGTGTGCAAAAAAAAAAAAAAAAGGTTCAATCAGTCAATTTCAACTTTTCGTGGGGAAAAAAAAGATCTTCCAAAGTTGGAATGATTGATTGAACTTTTTAGTCCTACCCAGTCTGCTTTTACCACCGCAGCCATGCCCACCCAACAGGCCACACCCAGCCAATGGGCCACACCCGCCCGGCACCCAATGATCTATAAGTGGGTTTTGGGTTGCAGTTTGGGCACTCGGTCTCTAAAAGGTTTGCCATCATTGAAGTAGATCATCTGAAATAGAGAACAGTTTCTAAAGAACTATGGTCATAAGATTTATCATCTTGTTTTGAATTGTATTAAGTCTTGAATTCTAAAAACATGGCACTTTGAAGGGTTCTGGTTCTGCCTTGATAACCAAGATACATTTTATCATATATCTTGAAAAAAAAGTTTCCATCTAATATGTTAAGTGAATAGAGTATTGTTTTCCAAAAATACATATAGATGAAGTAGCTAATTAACTGAGAGAATAAGAGAAATTACTAATAATAATTAAAGAAATGAGACATCTTTTCTAATTACTTTCCTAATTGAAAATGAAATTATGCCAAATGGCACATTATTTAATTTATTGTTGCTACAATTTTATAGTAATTTTATCAAAAATTACAATTAAAATAAAAACAATAAAAAAATAAAGGAATTAGGACACAAAATAGTACAGAAAATAAAAAAAAATGGAAAAATATAAAAAATAAGAATACAGTAAAGAAAAAGAAATGAAATATATAAATAAATGCATCCACTTCATCAAAAGTATAAACAATTTTAGTAATTTTATCTCCTTTTCTTAAAATGCAACAAATGATCTCTTCTTTCTATATCCTATCTCCTATCTATAAACAAATCCTTAAAACATTGTTCAGTCCATGTCAGCTAAAGTCCATTAAAGTTTAGAAGAGATACCAATGTATCAGTTTTAACTTTGATTAAATATACCAACTTTATATTCCTTCCTTTTGCTTTTAGCAATCTTGAGCTTTAATCATTTCAAATAATGTCCTAGAAGTTGATTTCTTTTCATTTTTTTGGTCCCTTCTCACAAAATTGTTAAAATTTTACACCTCTTTGTAAATCCAAAAAAAGAATCCAATATAAGAATGTTATACAGATCCCTCTCTTGTTTTTTTTATTTGTATATCCCTTTTAACTATTAAAACATCAATTGATTTTATTAGTACAGTGGGGCAAAAAAGTATTTAGTCAGCCACCAATTGTGCAAGTTCTCCCATTTAAAAAGATGAGAGAGGCCTGTAATTGTCATCATAAATAGACCTCAGTTATGAGAGACAAAATGAGAAAACAAATCCAGACAATCACATTGTCTGATTTGGAAAGAATTTATTTGCAAATTATGGTGGAAAATAAGTATATGGTCAATATCAAAAGTTCATCTCAATACTTTGTTATATATCCTTTGTTGGCAATGACAGAGATCAAACGTTTTCTGTAAGTCTTCACAAGGTTGGTACACACTGTTGCTGGTATGTTGGCCCATTCCTCCATGCAGATCTCCTCTAGAGCAGTGATGTTTTGGGGCTGTCGCTGGGCAACACGGACTTTCAACTCCCTCCAAAGGTTTACTATGGGGTTCAGATCTGGAGACTGGCTAGGCCACTCCAGGACCTTGAAATGCTTCTTACGAAGCTACTCCTTCGTTGCCCGGGCGATGTGTTTGGGATCATTGTCATGCTGAAAGACCCAGCCACGTTTCATCTTCAGTGCCCTTGCTGATGGAAGAAGGTTTGCACTCAAAATCTCACGATACATGGCCCCATTCATTCTTTCCTGTACACAGATCAGTCATCCTGGTCCCTTTGCAGAGAAACAGCCCCAAAGCATGATGTTGCCACCCCCATGCTTCACAGTAGGTATGGTGTTCTTTGGATGCAACTCAGCATTCTCTCTCCTCCAAACACGACGAGTTGTGTTTCTACCAAACAGTTCTACTTTGGTTTCATCTGACCATATGACATTCTCCCAATCCTCTTCTGGATCATCCAAATGCTCTCTAGCAAACTTCAGACGGGCCCGGACATGTACTGGCTTAAGCAGGGGGACACATCTGGCACTGCAGGATCTGAGTCCCTGGCAGCGTAGTGTGTTACTGATGGTTGCCTTTGTTACGTTGGTCCCAGCTCTCTGCAGGTCATTCACTAGGTCCCCCCGTGTGGTTCTGGGATTTTTGCTCACCGTTCTTGTGATCATGTTGACCCCACGGGGTGAGATCTTGCGTGGAGCCCCAAATCAAGGGAGATTATCAGTGGTCTTGTATGTCTTCCATTTTCTAATTATTGCTCCCACAGTTGATTTCTTCACACCAAGCTGCTTGCCTATTGCAGACTCAGTCTTCCCAGCCTGGTGCAGGTCTACAATTTTGTTTCTGGTGTCCTTCGACAGCTCTTTGGTTTGAGGTTGTGGACAGGTGTCTTTTATACTGTTTGAGGTTGTGGACAGGTGTCTTTTACACTGATAACAAGTTCAAACAGGTGCCATTAATACAGGTAATGAGTGGACGACAGAGGAGCCTCTTAAAGAAGAAGTTAGAGGTCTGTGAGAGCCAGAAATCTTGCTTGTTTATAGGTGACCACATACTTATTTTCCACCATAATTTGCAAATAAATTCTTTCCAAATCAGACAATGTGATTGTCTGGATTTGTTTTCTCATTTTGTCTCTCATAGTTGAGGTCTACCTAGGATGACAATTACAGGCCTCTCTCATCTTTTTAAGTTGGAGAACTTGCACAATTGGTGGCTGACTAAATACTTTTTTGCCCCACTGTATATCCACCTAGCAACTTTTCCTATATCATTCTTCTAGTCTGTTATTTTTAAATCCACTTTCAGATCAATCTCAATCTTATCTAGTAAAAATTGTTCCTCTTCAACATGTTTTAAACCACTGGTTCTCAACCTTTTTAATGCCGCGACCCCCCAACCGGTCGTAAGTCGAGGACTACTCAACCGGTCGTAAGTCGAGGACTACTCAACTGGTGCAGCACCGTTTGCAGAATGGGACTTTTGGCGGGCTCAGCAGGGCAGAGACAGCCTGGACAATTCCTATTGGCTTTTGAAAGCCAATAGAATTAGACTCTATTCAAGAGAGTCTATTCTATTGGCTTTCAAAAGCCAATAGAATAAAAGGGAGTAGCACAGCTAAGGAAAAGGGGGAAAAAAATGGCAGACTGCGTTGTCCCGTGAAATGGTTGTTCGACCCCAAATGGGGTCCCGACCCACAGGTTGAGAACCACCGTTTTAAACAAAGTCTAATTGTAATCGCAAACATTCATAAAATTAACCAGCTATTAACTGGGTTCCTAATAGCTGAAAATCAATCAATTTTTGAAAATTATCTGAAAATTAACTATGGGTAGTCTTTTATTTAGGACTGGCTGTTTAATAACTATTCAAACTTAATAATGGCTCAGAAAGGGTGCTTTACAGTCCATAAAGCATTTCCAGCTATTATAAAATACCAGGTTTTCCCATCTCACATGACTGTTATCTATGTGCTTGGCAACCTGTTTACACAACCAGTGGCCAAGTACCTTAATGATCACATGATGACAATTTGCAATCTTCTTTGCTGACTTCTTTGGCAAGTCAGTGGGAAACCTAGCAGGGAAAGTTTCAAGGTCCTGTCTCCTGCTTCCCCTCCATTCTCCTCCATGCCCAGGGGCTGCAGATATCCTTCATCTGTCTCCAGAAATGAAGTTCAGATTTTCAAGATTCCTGCTTCATTTCTTCATCCCAGTGCAGGAGTTTTCCCCATCCATGCATGGAAGGGAAATTCTGCATTGAGCTGGAGAAATGAAGTGGGAATCCTGGAGATCCAAGCTCCGTCTCTGTGCCACACGACAAGAGTTCCCTTCTGCTCATAGAGGGAACTTCCTGCCCTCCTTTGCTCTTTTGCTTCATCCACCTAACCTATGAGGTTGCTTTATGACTAGGAAAACCAGGATTTTAGCAAAAAAATCATGTGGCATCTCACTTAACAACCGCTTTGCTCATTGATGGAGATTCTAATCCCAATTGTGGTCATAAGTTGAGGATTACTATATGCGAACCCAGTATCATTTTAGATATATACCAACCATGGTTTGAGCAAGATTGCTGTTTCTTCATCTCCCAGTGTCTAAATCCATCAGAGACCACTGTCTGGCAATCTTTGTGAGTATTTACTGTCTGGAGCACTTGTGGGCAACTCCTTGTCTGGAAAGGAATTATAAAGAGCTAATCTGCTTTCCAGTTCTTCATTCCAATCTTTTTATCAGCTCCACTTTTAGCAGGGTTGTTTTAAGTTTGCCATTTCTTCCCTGGAAAGAAATGTCCTCTGGTGTCACTAGAATTGTTATTAATAAAAATCAACCCTGTATTTTCTGATTGTGTGCATAGTTGTGTAAATTGAACATGAGATGCTGGGAGAAAAATTAAACTGATTTAAAGGAAAAATACATATAGTGATGCATACTTAATGACAATTTTTGATACAGTGCTGTAATTTTATTATAGACTGACACTTTCACTCATTTTTATTTAAACATTTTTAAATAGAAAATGGGGAGGGTGTGAAAACAACTTTTTTCTTTTTACAGGTCATAATCATTGGACTGGATGATTATAGAATGTTAGCTTCTCTGATTATGGATTTGCAGATATAAGTTCTGTGGCATGCATATTGTTGTATAACGAGAATGCAATTATTGTTATATGAAGTTAGAGCTTCTTGCTATATTATCTAGATCACTGCTTTGGATTATACTCCGACATAGTTGAGTTCATTTTCAAAGACTGTTTAAAATGCTTGAATATCTGGAGATTTGATTCTAATTACATCTCTGTGATTCACTTGTCAGACATTAAAAAAGTATTTGCTTCTTGTATACAAACATAATAAAATCTGGAGTAGTAACACAACAGAAGCACCATGATTCTGTAATCCAGCTCTAAACAATAAAAGCTACTGTGGATTTTTTGGAAGCAGTGCAGATTTCATCTCTTCACTCGCAAGCTAGTTTTTATAGACCACTATAAGTTTGATCCAACCATTTTTACAAGCAGTGCTTTGTTTGCATGCAAAGGACCATTCACTTAGACGAGTGTTCTGGGATTTGTTCTTATTGCTATAAATCAGAATGTGATCTGGGTGCTGCTGCCAGAAATGGTCACTTAACTCAAATTCAGTTGAAAGACTTGCCCAGAAAAGGACAGAAAAGGACAGAAAATGAAGAGCAGTGATTGATTATCTGTTTTCCTTCATGCTAAAACTACTTGAAAGTAATAAATTTGAACAAGACTGATTTTGGGTTGTCATCAACACATTGAATAAGACAATCTATTGGCTAATGTTCTTTGGGTTGTTTTAATCTCCTTCACAGCTGGCTGAAGAACTGCAGAATAAACCACTAAACAATGAGATCAGAGAACTCTTACAGCTGCTGTCCAAACCTAGTCTGAAGGTAAGGATGTACCCGTTAAGCTACAGAATTGCTTACTCCTCTGTTTTCAAAGTATGGTGACATTTCTATGAATATTCTTGTGTTCATGTGTACATGCAGAATTGCTAGAATAAAATGCTGAAGGGAGATAGAGAAAAAAATCTATAATATAGTGCATTGTTTGATTGTAACTTAATAATAGATTTTATATCTTATACCATACAGACAGAACAAAAAGCAATAAAGTTTTAAAACATAAATATAAATATTCATAGCTAAAAATTCATTTCATTGCTACCATCCAAAATCCTTATATGAAAGACTGTCTCAGCTTTATTGCTATTAAGCCAAATCTTCCTACATTCTTAGAGTAATATCAATTTTGGACATGATAATAATAACAATAGTAATAATAGAGTTGGAAAGGAACTTGGAGATCTTTCTAGTCCAACCCCCTGCTCAGGCAGGAAACCCTATACCATTTCAGACAAATGGTTGTCCAGTCTCTTCTTAAAAACTTCCAGTGTTGGATTATTCACAACCTCTGTAGGCAGGTTGTTCTACTGATTAATTGTTCTAAATGTTAGGAAATTTCTCCTTAGTTCTAGGTTGCATCTCTCTTGGATTAGTTTCCATCCATTGCTTCTTATCCTGCCTTTAGGTGCTTTGGAGCAGGGGTCCCCAATCCCCGGTCCATGGACCAGTACCGGGCTGTGGCATGCCAGCAACCGGTTCGCGCAAACAAGTAAAGACCCATCTGTGGGATGCAGGTAGCACATAAAACCACGCACTCTCCTGTCCATGGAAAAAACCTCTCTTCACGAAACCGGTCCCTGGTGCCCAAAAGGTTGGGGACCGCTGCTTTGGAGAATAACTTGACTTCCTCTTCTTTGTGGCAACCCCTGAGATATTGAAACACTGCTATCATGTCACCCCTAGTCCTTCTCTTCATTAAACTAAACATACCCAATTCCAGCAACTATTCTTTATATGTTTTAGCCTCCAGTCCCCTAATCATCTTTGTTTCTCTTCCCTGTACACTTTCTAGAGTCTCAACATCTTTTTTACATACTGGATGCAGTATTCCAAGTGTGGCCTTAAGTGTGGTATTAACACTTCATGTAATCTTGATTCTCCAGCATGATAGATGTAGCATCCACCAATGGGTAATCAAAGCCTTCCTGCTCAGTTTAGATTAAGACCAAACTTTAGCCACGCCTCCCTTGGGCGGTCCTTTCCCAGTTTTGTCTTAGTTTCAGCTCAGTAGGACACAACTTTGGTAGCTCCTCAAATAGCATACTTTAAATAGTCAGATTTAGGATAGATAGGTTTGATTTTTCATTTAGTTTTGTGATTAGTTAATTGCAGTAGCTAGTATTTGTAAGAAGACAGGATTTCAAGTCAGTTGGGAGCATTCGTCCCAAAGGGCCTGCCTGGCCTCGCGGATCGCTAGGAGCTACGCCTTGGAGTAGCGAGTTCAGCTCCTAGCAGCTGTTTGGCGCTACGATGGGAGTTTCCTGAGCACCTGGGAGCGATTTCATGAGTGCTCCGGAAGATCGGGTCGAAGGGCCGAGTTGCCTCCTTCTTGCCTCATGGCCATGAGGCTCCAGCGACGATCGGGCCGCAGCTTGCCTGCGCAGCATAAACGCAAGTGCTTGGTTGCCTTATAGATAAAGGGGGAGAGAATAGGCTATTTCAAGCTCCCTTGGGCTCCCTGAAAGGGCAAAAAATGGGCTTGTGGAGGCTTAATTTGAGATTGGCCTCGCAGGTGTCGCCATTTTAGGTGGCAGGGAGACTCGCCTAATATGGCGACGCCATTTTGAATACGGTGCTGAGTGTGGTCGCCATCTTGAAGAGGCTTACATTCAAGGCTGATATCAGGCCGCTTACTTCCAGTAGCCTAGTGTGTTAGACTCTCAAGGGGGTTCATCAGGCATATTTATTCCACCTTCTTTCATAAGGATTCCACAGGAGGGAGGGGTATTCCTTATTCTGATCCTTGTGGCATCACTCACAACCAATTTTATTGCTAGCTTTAATTCTGTGGGAGAATTTAACAGACCTGTTTTCATTAGCTCGCGGCGCTCTGTCAGCAGGTCCTAAGCGGACAGTTCTAGGGAGCTGTCTGGCTGTTTGCCATTGTGGTTGTCTTAGGGCGCAGGAAGCTTCCCTCCCGGATAACTTGATTTGCGTGTTTACCCCCATTCCAGGGCTTCTCCTATCTGGAAGTTCCAGTGCGCAATGGCAGATGGTGAAACTCCTCAGACTTTGCAGAGTTCTGATGTTCCCCCCACAGTCTAAACGCAGATCTTCTGATTTGAGCACGGGGGGGGGGGGGGAGAAAAAGGCTAAAACCAAGCATTTAACCACTAAAGAACCCTCCAGAGTGAGAGGCCTCGAGGAGACATCAGGCACTGGAGAAAGAATTCTCCAGAGTCAAAGGCTCAGGTCCAGCGAAACTGAAGTGGTTCCTCCTGCTTCACTGGATAGTTCACCATTTGAGCCTCCACTAGTGCCATCTTATCAAGCCCCCAGAGCTTGGTCTCCTCAAGGGGGAACTGAACAGGTCGGTCTCTCTCCTCCCCTTCCCATTTCTCCACCTTCCACTCTTACTCCTTCAGTTCCTTCTGCTTCTATCACCCCACAGACTTCTCAAGCCACCGCAGCTGGTATGGGTTCTGCAGAGCAAAATTTATAGGCACAACAATTCAATTCTTTTATGCACCAGGCCTTCTATCAATTTATGGCATCTTCCATGGGTCAAAGGTCTTCACAGATACCATCTCCTCCTCCTCCACCCTTACCCGCATGTCGCACTGGGCAGCTCCAGTCAGCTGGCTCAGGTATTTCTGAGACTTCGTCTCAGCTAGGTGAGTCTGAGTCTGTGGACCTGGAGACAACTGACATTCCTATGTCTGAGGATGAAGAGGTGGATCCGGATCCGACCCCAACATCGGGTCTTTTTGATCACTCTCTATTTAGATCATTATTGTTAAAGGCCTGCACCACGGCCAATTTGTTTACAGAGCAGGAGCCTAAACCATCTACCTCTACTGCACAGGAGTCTAATCCTTTGTTTGTGGTACAGGTTGTGGAGGAAAAACAGGTTCCTTGTCCAGCTGTTTTCTGCACTACGGTGGAGAAGCAGTGGACCTCTTTGGCCACTCTACCTCCACCCAATAGCACGGAAAAGAAACTGTTTAATGTTTCATCTACATTCTCTTCCCTCCTAGAGGTACCTACAGTGGATGCTCCCTTAACCTCTTTGTTCTCCACATCCACGGTTCCTGGAGACATGGCAGAGAACCTTAAGGCGGAGGATAAAAGGTTTGAGTTTTCTCTCCGCAGAACTCATCAGGCCTCAGCCTGGGCAATCAGGGCGGCAACATCCTCGTCGTTTTTCGCGAGGACTTCCATTATGTGGATCCATGAGTTACAAGCTCTAATTCCTCCGGATCAGGTGCGTGCGCAACAGACCTTAGGTAAGCTAGTAGCTGTTGCGGAATATATGGCAGATGCATCCTTCCACTCAACCAAGTATTCCGCTAGGTCTATCGTGGCCATGGTAGCATCTCGCAGATTGTTATGGCTCAAACAGTGGAGGGCTGATCTAAAATCAAGGTGGCATCTAGCTACAGACACCTACAGTGGTACTCAATTGTTCGGTCCGGTCCTGGAACCGTACCTAATAGAAGGGAAGGACAAGTGAAAGACCTTGGCTCACCCCTCCAAGAAGGCGAATAGGAGACCCCAACAAGAATTTCGCAGGCAGTCCTTTCATGCCGGAAGTTCTTGGGAATGGAAGTTCTTTCAATCAGGGCAGTCCTGGGATTGGCCCAGAGGTTCCTGATCCTTTCCCCCCAGACAGGATTGCCAACAGGACCACCAGAGTTCAGGAACCAGGGGTCAATTCCAAACCAAGTGTCCCTTCAGAGGAGCTGGGGGCCACCCATACAGGAAGTCTAAGTGACGCCAAATTGGATCCTCCCATAGGCGGTCGCTTAGCTCTGTTCAGCGACACTTGGGAGGTCACCACCAATGATACCTGGGTAAGGGAGACCATAAGTTTCGGTCTAGCCCTAGAATTCAGATCCATTCCCCCAGACCGCTTCATTCAGTGTCCGTCCTCAAGGCACGCAAGCAAGGCCGAGTTAGTATCCAAGGCCATATCCCACTTGTTAGAAATAGAGGCCATAGAACCAGTACCTCTGGACCAAAAGGAAAAGGGGTTTTATTCCATTCTGTTCATGGTTCCCAAGGCCTTGGGGGGTTGGAGGGTGATTTTGGATCTGAAGGGACTAAACTACTTCCTAACTTAGAGGAGGTTCAAGATGCAGTCCCTCAGGTCCATTCTGGCCAGCATCAGGAAGGGAGATTTCCTCTCCTCCATAGATTTGACAGAGGCTTATCTTCATGTCCCCATCTGACCCCAACACCGCAGATTACTTTGGTTTTGCCACGCGTGCAGACATTATCAGTACAGGGTCCTACCCTTCAGCCTATCCTCGGCTCCTCGAGTGTTCATAAAGCTACTGGCGGTATTAGCAGCACATCTCAGACTGATGCCTGTGCGAGTGCAGTGCTACCTGGACGATATAATTATCCAGTCTAGTTCTTTCTGTTCTGCCCAGATAGATTTACAGATCACAATAGATACACTCCAGAGGCATGGCTTCTCCATGAATTTCAAAAAGAGCCACACCACTCCGATCACTTGGATCTTACATCTAGGGGCAGTGATAGATTCAAACCAATGCAGGGTTTATCTCTCCCAGAAACGCAAGGACAGCATCAGATCTCTAGTTCACAAGATCCAGAGAGAGAAGGTGGTTCCACTTGTCCAGCTGTCTCAGCTGTTGGGAAAGATGATTTCATGTCTGGGAATAGTGCTGTGGGCAAGATTTCACTCCAGACATCTCCAATGGTTCTTACTCCCTTTCCAGAAGCGGAAGATGAGTGCTTTCACTCGGAAAGTGAGAGTTCCACATTACACACTACTGTCACTCCAATGGTGGGCATCG